GTCCGCCAGCGCACCCCGCAAATGTTGGCATTTGTTATTGCGCACAGATAACGCCTGCCAGAGTCCGATGTGGCCCCCGTGTTGGTCCAGCGCATCTAACACGTGGCCCGTTTTGAGGGCACACACACACACACACACACACACACACACACACACACAAGGGAATGCAACATAAACTAGTAGACACATCAATAAATCATTTGGACAACACCTTAACTTGTTCCCCACAAACCTGCAAGAGCAACTGTCACAAACTGGACGCAGTCAACACTAGTCATGGTTTCGCCAGCGGTCACTACCACCTGAGAGGACAGCTCAGGGTTCTGCATACAGTGGGCCCCTCAATCTGGCGATTGTAGCACCCTGAGTACACCCTGACTACTTACCCGCAATAAAGCAGTAGGAAGGCCTAGATAAAAGCCTTCATTCAGGGTTCACTTTCCACTCAAGGCTAGTGAATACATTTGGTTCGGCAAGGACGACAGGGGCATCCCCAGGTTTTCATATTTATCGTGGCTTTTTAGAATGCAGAACCATGCGTTTTTCGCAGCAAACGGCTATACGAACAGTCTCATATTTTGTGGCTCCAAGCTAGTCTGACATGCGGTATAATTCGAGCTAACTCTCCTAAATAATTTCCGTGGTTCTCATGTAGGTAACAGTTTACAAAATTGTGCGAAATGTTTGATTCCTGAAGTAATAGCACCTTGTAAAGGGGGGGGGTGGAATAGGAGCTACTTTTGCGTTTTTTATTAACTTTACACCGATCAGTCTACGGATGTCCCGGCAACACTAAGACCTATTTTATTCGGTCCATTCCCGTTGTTCAGACTCATCTTTCCTTCCATCGTTTGCTTAACCTAACTATATAAAGTAACATTTTTAGAAGCCACCAGAGACCTGGAAGTTTCAAAAATAAGCCAGTGAAGTGTTCTCAACCGAGTGGCTCGCCTTCGAACACGCACGATGCCCACCTGGTGCCCCAGCTTGACCAGCCCCGCTCTCGAGGGTCAATCGATAACTCCAGGCACGTTCGTTTAAATATTCTGTCGCGGCATGGTGGTCATATGACGCTCTGAGGTTTTCCGTGGACAGAGACGAGGTTATTCCTTATTAATGGATCTCAGTCACCCGAGATGTATGGGTACTTCCGGTTTGGGTGTCCAACCAGCGAGAGCTGTTGGTCCGAAACCCCATGCAAATGCAAGTTCGGCACTCTTTGAGGCCTCTCTGCGCAACTTTTGTCGACCGTACGATGATAGGAGAAAGGCCTGGAACCCCAGCTGTCGCATAGCCTATAAGAGCAAAGTCCTTGAACCGCATGGAAGCCGGGAGGCTCTTCAGCTCATTCAACCTTTTGAGAGCCCAAAATGCGCCCCGAAAACCAAGGCGTTCGCGCCCACTCTAATGAAGTCTTCCCCGCCTATTTGGCCACAGAGTGTCAAGGTAAGCGCGCGCTGCCAGCCAAGCAACGACAACACTTCCCAGGCGACGGAAGCCTTGAAAACTCTTGTGGATAATTTCGTACGTAAACTGTTCAGTGGAGACGGTAATTTTGATGAAAAGGCCCTTGAAGAGCTGAGAATGAGGTTTAAGAGTATACAGCAAAATTCTATGGCTAACCAGGATGAGGGTCAAAACGGAAGTAATGTTGTCCAAAATAATGCCTGCAGTTCTCAACAAACTCTTTATCAGACGGTTATGTGGTGTATTGTCTTTCAGGCGTGTATCGATGTGCTATCAAAACCAAATGAAACCTGTTCGGTAGATCTTCTCCTACATCGATCATGGAAATATCTCGAGAACATGAGAAGTATTTTGGAGCCGTTCGTCGTCAGTGAAGAGGAAAAACATGCTGGGTTGCACTCAAGAGTAAATATGAATCAATCCAATAGGGCCGATTTCTTTGAAGAGAACGATGCCATTTCAAGCCACGTTACGGAACCGATTCAGTCCTGGGACTCATATGCTTCAACAATTAGTGCAGCTAGTTCCCTTCCTCTAGTAGAAAGCACTAAAGCTACGGAAGTCCACCGAAAGACATACAATTCTAGGAGTCAGCAACAAGCTTCGGAATCATCTTGCAAGCACAGGAGACAAGAGTGTCGAGAATTATGCTGCGAGAAATGGATAAATGCCTTTCCCGGAACTGCGAAAGTGGAACATAGTTCAGCTGTCTCTCAGAGCTACCTAAGAGATGCGCGGGTGGGGACTGAAAATCAATATATAAACCGTGTGCCAGAGAAAGGCATACGCGTACCCCTCGGTGTAAGTCGTCCTACCCAGGCAACTAGTTGTTCAAACAAGGGAATTCAAACGTCTACGCCTCAGGGGCATTTACTTTCGACAAAGACAGCAGAAAATGTCTTTCAGGAACCAGAACCAGAAGGTCTTAGGCGGGAGTATGAATCGACCAGACGAGAGCTAGCTGTTGAGGCTGATCGGTACCTCGATATTTTCAAACGGTGCCAGAACCTCCAGCGGACTCTTCGTTACAGTACACGAACAGGAAATACGGAGGACACGGAAGATGAGGAGGAGGAAATGAATGAACTTTCTCTTTCTCTGATCGAACGGTCGCATATGAAGAACTATAAACCGTGCCTGTGTACCTCCGCAGAGAGGGGCCTACAGACGAAGTTTGACGAAACAAAAGTCCTCCTTACTAGACTCAGGTTCGTCCCAAGAATCTCCTATGAGCCTGACACCGCATGCATCGCGGTGGTTCGACATGAAGCGGTATGCATGATATCAATCATAATACCACTCCTTTCGTTGATTGATCTGCAGTGGCTGCTTGAGCAGTTTAAGCGGTCGGAGTCCAGCCATCGCTTTCGACAGCGACGTCACTCCACGCGAGGCGATAAATTGGTTCGAGCCCTCCCATTCAAATGCAGTTGTGAGCGCAAAAACTCGCTAGGAAGAATAAAGCTTCAAGAGCAGTCTTCTTGTTGTTGCTCTTCTTTCAATAAACGGAGGTTAGAGCGTTGTCTTTGACTGCATCTCTTTTGGCCACGTTATTGAGGTGTACCTTATGAGGTGGTGTTGGGATTGTAGAAGAGATCGTGTTGATAAAAATAGCCAACAGAGATTTAGTCTATTTTCTCGTGAAAGCTGGTATACACGCAGACTCCACTATCTACGATCACAAATCAACTCGAAGATGCCTGTGGGCAGTTTTTTGGACAGACTGAAGCATGCGCAAAACATCATCTGAAGAAAGTGCACCAATTCTGAAATTTAACCTAGAACTTATAGCTCATAATTGCAGCAAACCTACCCGTTTTTCATGAGACGCATTCTAATTATTTATGTATTTCTTACTGAATAAGTATAAGAGTATTATTTTTAAAAGGGAAGTAGCAATACAATTATGTAACGACCGTTGTACCGTCGATTCCGACTGTGTCCACCGTGTGCTACACAGCTAAGTACAGCAGGCACGGTGACTTGCGCAGGATTGGTTTATAAGGATAGCAGACTTGCGCAGCATCTATCGCACTCTCTCTTCCCAACTCCCCACCTGGACCCAGTGTCAAGAAAGAGTCAAGAAAACCGGAGTCGGGGGAGGGCGCAGGTGACTGGCAAGACCAGATCCGCTCCTAGGCGTGTCACTGCAAACGCTAGTCCATAACGTTCACTTGAGCAGGATTTTTCACCAACAACATTAACAACACCCCAACGGGGGCCAAAAGGACGATGATGACCGGGTAGCCATATCTACTAACTATATATCCAACGGGAGCGCTAGTGCATATACCGGCAGGGGAACCAAGTGCCAGAGAACTGTCAGCGCATACCAGGATGCGAGGGCTATAATTTGTTGATACTGGCATCGAACACGCTTTCAGACCTTTTGACCCAGAAGGGCAATACGTGGCCCTGCATTTAGTCCGGGCCATCTCCCTCCAAGGTTGGGTAATCAAACTGTCGCCGACAGAGAGGCACTAACGATAGAGCACACATACGCACACACACGACAGTTCGACCGTCGATTTCGATGATGTCCACCGCGTGCCCCACAGCTGCAGCAGCGGTGGGAGCAGGGACGGTGACTTACGCAGGGGGTTATAGTGCCGGTAGACTTGCGCTGCATCTACCTACACTCTCTCCTCCTCCCCCGCCTGGGCCCGGTGTCAAGACAGAGTCAAGAAGACCGGAGACGAGGGAGGCGGCAGGTGGATGGCTCGGACGGATCCTCACCTTGGCGTTCCACCACACCCCCTGGTCCACACAACAAATAACCAGGATTTTGACCAACTCAACCGAGATTTGGAAGCTGGCACGACCGAAGCCGCACCTGGGCGTGTCGCCGGCGCCTGGCTCGAATCCCACACTGTGGTGGGAATGCCATAAAGGCCACATTAAAAAGGAGCCATTGCAGTCTGACTCTCAGACTACCACCAGTCAAGGAGGAGGTCCAAGTTACCTCGTCAGTTGGCAACCTTCCAAGCCACGGCTTTTAGCGCACCGCGATAGCTTCAAGCGCGTCAGATTGTTTATAGTGAGGAGGAAGTGCGCTGAGTCGTCGAACTCACTCTCCCTTCCCATACCCACACCCCAGCCACTGTCCGAGCCGGTCAGTAGACCGGAGTGGGAAATGGGTGCGGTGGCTGTCATGGTCGAATGACCATGCCTGCGTGCGCCACGTGCAGGTCCTGGCCCCGCATCCACACACACAAACCAGGATTTCACACAACGGGGGTAGAAAGGCGTGACTCTCACTAGTGTGAGGGGGCCATCTCTGTACGATGGATTCGCAAGTGCCCGACAAGGCCGATGCGTGAGGTGAATGTGCGTGGACAGTGTGGGCATGAGAAGTTGGCGGTGTCGGCGTCACCTGCAGAGGCGGTGGTAATGTTGGTGGTGGTTGCGCAGGCGGATGGAGCGAGGGTGGTGCTGGGCATGGTGAGTGTGTTGGATGTGGTGGGTGTGTCGGGAGTGCGGTCAATTCCGCTCTGGTGGATGCGCATGACGCCAACTAGGCCAATGCGGTGCCTGAAGGTGCGAGGGCAGTGTGGGCAGTGGGGGCGAGTGCGGTGGGTGTAGGTTGGTGCTCCAGACACTGGTTCGCCAGTCTTTGTGCGATGGATTCGGAAGTGACCGACCAGGCCGATGCGTGAGGTGAAGGTGCGGTCGCAGTGAAGACAGGTATAGACCTGATCCTCATCGCTGGATTCAGAGGAAGTGGGGGTGGTGTCGGTTGTTGTGTGGGGGTTAGTGATGTGCGAGACAGCCGCCTGAGCGGCCGTCGCAAAGGCAGTGGAGGAGGAGGAGGGTGGGAGTGGTGGTTCAGACGAATTGTCAGAGTTAGTTGGCGGAGGAGAGGAGGAGGATGAGGCGGGCGGGGGAACGATGATTGGTTCAGTTCGAGAGCCGCAGTTAATCCGAAGATGTCCAACAAGTCCGATTCGAGCCCGGAAAGTCCGTTGACATCGAGGACACGTTGGTAGGTGTTGTGCGGCGGCGTTGCGTACGTGGCGAATTTGTGATTTGCGGGCTTCAGGTTTCGCTTTGGCTGCAGCGATGCAGTTGGCTTCGTAGATCGCAGCGCCCGTCTTCACTGTTCTCCTCCAGGTCGGACGATCGAGTTCGAGCTCTTCCCAGTTGGTCAGGTTGATTTGCAGCGCTTCAAACAAGGCTTCAGGGTATCCTTGTATCAACGAATTTGGTCTCCTTTGCGGCGAGAACCGTCGCGACGTCTCTGTAGAAGAGTCGTTTGGGTAGTCGCTCGTCATCCATGCGCACCAGGTGACCGCTCCATCGCAGCTGCATTTTCTCAGCATGGTGTAGATGCTGAGGACTCCCGTCCGTTCCAGCACATCAGTGTCGGGGATGCGGTCCTGCCAGTTCAGCCGCAGGATGCGACGGAGACAACTGAGGTGGAAGTGGTTCAGTCGGCGTGCCTGCCTCGTGTACACCGTCCAAGTCTCCGCTCCATACAGTAGCATTGGCAGGATGACGGCCTTGTACATCTTCAGCTTCGTGCTCAGTTGGAGACCATGACGATTCCAAACTGTGCTTTGGAGGCGTCCGAAGGCTTGACTGGCTTTCGAGATCCTGTTGGCGACTTCGTCGTCGATCTTGGTGTTGCGGGAGAGGGTACTGCCCAGGTACGGGAAGTTGTCTACCACTTGCAGTTGATTTCCGTTCACGCTGATTTGCGGCGGCGCGTTGGGGGCTGTGACTGAGTTGGGTGGCGGTCGATGCATCACCACCGTCTTCTGCGTGTTAATGACCAGACCAAAGTTCTTGAAGGTGGCGGAGAATAGGTCCATGCTCCGTTGCATGTCCTCTTCCGAGGTGGTGTTCAGTGCGCAGTCGTCGGCGAAGAGGAGTTCGTGCACGGTGGTTGTGGATACGCGCGATTGGAAGTGCATCCGTCGTTGATTCAGGCGGTGACCGTCCGTCCTGTAGGCGATGCGGATTCCAGGGCGTTCGTCGCGGTAGGCGTCCATCAGCATGGCAGAGAACATAAGACTGAAGAGGGTAGGCGCCAGCACCCATCCCTGCTTCACTCGTTTGGTCACTGCGAATGCCTCTGAGACAGCTCCGTTGTCCGTGACTCGCGCCATCATACCGTCGTGCAGCTGACGTACCATCTGTGTGAATCGCTCCGGACAGCCGCATTTCTGCAGGATCTTCCAAAGTCCTTCACGATTCACCGTGTCGAAGGCTTTCGCCGGATCCACGAAAGTTGAGTACAGGTGGGTCCGCATCTCCTGGCACTTCTCCTGAAGTTGACGGACGGCGAAGATCATATCCGTGGTCCCGGCAGAAGGCCCTGTTCTAGATGGTTATTGAGGCTGTTGAGGAGGATGCGAGTAAAGATCTTTCCGGCGATGTTCAGCAAGAAGATGCCACGGTGATTGTCGCAGATTTGGCAGTTCCCTTTTCGCTTGTAGAGATGCACGACGCTCACGTCTTTGAAATCTTGCTGGACTTCGCCTTGACGCCACATCTCCTGGAAGAGCGCAGTCAGGTGATCCATCAGTTGCGGACCTCCGTGCTTGTAGACCTCAGCAGGGATTGCGTCCGATCCGGGTGCTTTCCCGCTGGAGAGTTGCTGCACGGCCCTGATGGTTTCCTGGAGAGATGGCGGGAGGTCGAGGTCCGCGTTGGTCTCCACTTGCGGCAAGCGGGCGATGGCGGCGTCGGAGATGGCGGAGGGGCGGTTGAGGCCGCCTCGAAAATGCTCGGCCCATCGCTGCAGGATTTGCGGCTTCCCAGTCAGGAGAGTGCTGCCGTCGGCGCTGAGGAGAGGAGCAGTGCCCTTCGTCGGCAGACCGTAGACAGCTTTGATCGCAAAGAAGAAGTTGTTTCATTCGTTGCGGTCCGCGTAGCCTTGGATCTCCTCAGCTTTGCGAGCAATCCAGGCGTTTTGCATCTCGCGCAGTCGTTTCTGAATTTGGCGTCGACTGCGGTAGAAAGCAACTTTGTTGTCGTCAATGGGGTGGTTTTCGTAGGCTTTGTGTAGGCTTTTATTCTCTGCAAGCAGATATTTGATGGCGACGTCATTGTCGTCGAATCAGTCCTGGTGTTGGCGAGGAGCGCGACCGAGGATGGCGAGCGTCGTCGACTGGACCGTGTCTCACAGTTGACACCAGCGGTACTCCATGGAGGCGTTCTCGGCAGCGGCGGCGGCGGCGTCGTCGGCGGCAGCGATTGGAAGGTTGTCTAGCCGTTGAGCTAGCTCATTGCTGAAATGGAGATGGTGAGCTGGCAAAGACAACAAGGTAACACCCAGCTTACCTGGGGGTCGCTTACCTTGTGGTCGCCTGCGAGGCTGTAGACAAATACGCATCTTCGAGATGACGAGGCGATGGTCGGTCCACCCGTCAGCACCCGCGATCGCCTTCGTCACCAGCACGTCCCGCTGATCTCGCATCCAGACGAGGACATAGTCCAGCAGGTGCCACTGACGCGACCGAGGATGCCTCCAGGTGGCCTTCTCTCGCTCCGGCAGACAGAAGAACGTGTTCGTCAGGATGAGGCGGTGTTCTGCGCAGGTGCGTAGCAGCAGCAGACCATTGTCGTTGGAGCCGCAGAGAGCATGGGGACCCAGCACGCCTCTCCAGGCAGTATGGTCTGTGCCGACGCGGGCGTTGAAGTCACCGAGGACAATCAACTTGTCCGCCTTCGACACAGTCGCCAAGAGGGTGTGCAGGTCCTCGTAGAATTTGTCTCTTGCGGCGGCGTCGGGGCTGCTCATCGGCGGAGCGTAGGCGCTGATGATGGTGGCGAAATTGCCCCCACCCCCGCGCCGGAGATGCAGACGGAGGCTCATCTGGGATCGTTGATTCCCTGCGGTAGACAGGGCAGTCGTCCTACGATGTCGGTCCGGATGGCGAAGGCGACACCCGCGTCTCGTCGCTCTGTCTTGGGGCGACCAATCCAGAAGAAGGTGTAGCCGGCACCCACCTCCTCCAGTTGGCCTTGTTCGGAGAATCGGGTCTCGCTGAGTGCGGCGATGTCCACCTTGTAGCGCGCCAGTTCTCGTGCCACTAACGCTGTCCTCCTTTCCGGTCGGTTGCACCTCGAATTGTCTAAAAGGGAACGAACATTCCAGGCTGCCAGAGTTTGCGGGCTCATCCTGCCAGTCTGGCGACAACGAGTGGGGCGACGGGAAGGAGGTGGAGAAGGAGATGACGGAGAAGAACAGGCAGAAGAATAGGGAGAGAATGATTTAGAGGAGGTAGGATGATGAGGTGAGCGAGTATTGTTGTTGTTGTTATTGTTATTGGTATTGCTGTTGTTTCGATTTTGATTATTTCGATTATGTTTAGACATCTCTGACCCTGGCTAGCCTGGAGACGGCGTGTTGCCCAGCAATGTTTAGGCCACCTTTTCTAGGCCCTTCCCCTCGTGGGGGCAGGCAGTGCCGTCTACGAATCGGGCTGCCCATGTGCCTGGTTGGCGCGACCTAATCCCACTATGGGGCCAAGACTTCTTGCTGTAGTGGAGAGCGACTCGAATTCGCCGTAAGTCGCGGTCTCCGACGGCGTAGGTGGGCGCGTCAGAGCAATGTCGATGTGGAGATCCATCCCCTCACCGGCTGTCCAGAGGCGTGCAGAGACGAACCTCGTCGCGACGGTGCCGACGCAAGGTTCCATCCGACCTTCCATCCAGCGGAATCTGCGAAACCCTATGCGCGCGGCACAACGCGCAGGGCCCCCTAACCTGGTTTAGCCCGCCGGTCGAGACGGTTGCCCGGGGTGTGGCCGCTGAGCAGAGCACAGCTACTTGGAGCCACAGGTGAGAGTTGGGTGTCAGAAAGTTGACGCTAGGCGTAGTCTCACCTGCAAGCAAGTGAGCGACCACTACGACCATCGCGTGTACCCACCGCTGACACCCCTACACCCACCCCACCACACACACACACACACACACACATGCACGCACGCACACACATACACACACGACAGTTCGACCATCGATTTCGACGATGTCCACCGTGTGCTCCGCAGAATGCATTGTGGGAGCAGGTCAGTGACTTACGCAGGGGTTTATAGTGCCAGTAGACTTGCATAGCATCTACCTACACTCTCTCCTCCTCCCCCGCCTGGGCCCGGTGTCAAGACAGAGTCAAGAAGACCGGAGACGAGGGAGGCCGCAGGTGGATGGCTCGGACGGATCCTCGCCTTGGCCCTCCACTCCGCACCCCCTGGTCCACACACAAATGAAAAGGATTTTGACCACAAAACAATACGGTGGTGACAGTGGTACAGTTGTGCGGCGAATGCCGACAACAGGGTCCGCCAGCGCACCCCGCATATGTTGGCATTTGCTATTGCGCACAGATAACGCCTGCCAGAGTCCGATGTGGCCCCCGTGTTGGTCTAGCGCATATAACACGTGGCCCGTTTGGAGGGCAGCACATACGACAGTTCTACCGTCGATTTCGACGATGTCCACCGTGTGCCCCACAGCTGCAGCAGCGGTGGGAGCAGGGACGGTGACTTACGCAGGGGTTTATAGTGCCAGTAGACTTGCGTAGCATCTACCTACACTCTCTCCTCCTCCCCCGCCTGGGCCCGGTGTCAAGACAGAGTCAAGAAGACCGGAGACGAGGGAGGCCGCAGGTGGATGGCTCGGACGGATCCTCGCCTTGGCCCTCCACTCCGCACCCCCTGGTCCACACAACAATAACCAGGATTTCAACCAACACAACAGAGATTTGGAGGCTGGCACGGCCGAAGCCGCACCTGGGCGTGCCGCTAACGCCTGGCTCGGATCCCACACTGTGGTGAGAGTGCCATAAAGGCCACATTAAAAAGGAGCCATTGCAGCCTGACTCTCAGGCCGCCTCCAGTGAAAGAGGAGGTCCAAGGTACCCCGTCAGTTGGCAACCTTCCAAGCCACGGCTTTTAGAGCACCGTGATAGCTTCAATCGCGTCAGATTGTTTATAGTGAGGAGAAAGTGCGCTGAGTCGTCGACCTCACTCTCCCTTCCCATTCCCACACCCCAGCCACTGTCCGAGCCGGTCAGTAGACTGGAGAAGGGAATGGGCGTGGTGGCTGACAGGTCGACTGACCATGCCTGCTCACGCCACAGCACGACCTGGCCCCCCATACACACACACAAACCAGGATTTCACACAACGGGGGTAGAACGGCGTGACTCTCACTTGCGTGAGAGGGCCGTGGAAGGTGCTGCTTCAGCCCATCCCCAGCCCACCAGTCCGCCACTGCACACAACACACACTACGTGACGAACTGCGTGAACCGAGAGCAGGCCTTAATCAGCAACCTTCCTATCCACGACGCTTGACGTGTCGGGATAGTCTCAGACACAAGTCACCCGTGTAGCCGAAGCCGCATGGGGACCGAGTGGAGATGCACACTTCCCACTTGCGTGGGAGGCGGCAGTTGAGTGCATGAGGTGTGTGGGGGTTGATGTCTGGTGGGGTGATGGTGTTAGGAGGTAGGGAGTGAGGGAATGTGTGGTGTGACCAGCGGTTGTCTACCGCAGGTCGTGGTGGATGCGCATGTGGCCGAATAGACCCATGCGATGCGTGAAGGTGCGAGGGCAGTGTGGGCAGTGGAGGCGAGTGCGGTGGGTGTAGGTTGGTGCTCCAGGCACTGGTTCGCCAGTCTCTGTGCGATGGATTTGCAAGTGACCGACCAGGCCGATGTGTGAGGTGAAGGTGCGTGGACACTGTGGGCATGAGAGGTTGGCGGCTTCGGTGTCAGCTGTAGAGGAAGCAGTGGTGTTGGTGGTGGCGGCGGCGGTGGTGGTGGTGGTCGGCGCGTGTGACGGTGGAGCGTGGATGGGTCTGTGCTTGGTGGATGTGTTGGATGTCGTGGCTGTATCGGAATTGTGGTCAATTCCGCTCTCGTGGATGCGCATGTGGCCGAATAGACCCATGCGATGCCTGAAGGT